ACAGATATTCAAGGAGAAATCAAGGAGAGTAGTTAAATTTGCTATTTACACCTGAATTCGGGGTTGGGCACTGAATGGGGGAAGTACAGGTGCTGCAGAATTTGTGGGCTGTCAATCGGGATTTGCAAGCACATCCGGAAGGATACTAGGAGCTCTATGGGCCTGTGTGTGAATTCTTGGTGGCTGCGGGACAATACTTGTGCCCGCAACCGCACCAGCTTGTACTGGATTTATGGGACTCGCCACATCAATAAGTCATACTGCAGTGCTAGTATTATTATTATACAGGATTTATATAGCGCCAACAGTTTGCTCAGCGCTTTACAGTATAACGGGAGACAATATAGCAACAATACAGTTCAATACAAGAGGGTTAGGAGGGCCCTGATCCTGGGAGCTTACAATCTAAGAGATATGTAAAAAACCAAGATGTACTAGGCCGCTGGTGCTCGCCAGTTCACCAAAAGGTAGCGCGGCACTAGTACTGGCACTCTGCTGCATATGAGAGTCCTGAAAATTTACTGACAAGTGCTAATGGAGATCAGGCCTGATTCTGCGAACACTGCGGTTTTGTGTCTAATGTATCAAGTGACAGTGACTTACTGACACTGCACTTTCTGGGGGAGAAGGGGGGGGGGTAAGCGTAGGGGCTAAATGCAGGTGCTGGAGCACAAATCATGTATATATAAATATACATATGTGATTTTGCGCACCTTTGCCGCCCTGTAGCAGTATTTCTGCTACAGGTCAGTCAGGAAGCGGTTACAGAAGCGGTTTGTGTTACGGCGCTGCGTTACTTTAACTGACAATTGCGCTGTCATGCAACACTGCACCACAATTCAATTTACGTCCTTTTTTCCCACAAATTGAGCTTTCTCTCCGTGGTATTTGATCGACTGTGCATTTTTTATTTTTTGAACTATAAAAAAATGACAATGTAAAAAAAAAAAAATAAATATTTTGGACTTTTTGCTAAAAAACATTTCCAGTAAAAAAATTAAAAAATCAAAAATGTATTCTGCGACATGTCTTTGCGAAAAAAATCCCAATACGTGTAAATTAATTGGTTTACATGAAAGTTATAGTGTCTACAAATGGCAGGAAAGATTTTTTTTTTTTTAATAATAATGGCGGAGATCAGCAACTTATGGCGGTGATCAGCGATTTATGACAGTAACTTATGGCGGGACTGCGGCGGACATTTTGACACTGGGAGGGGACTGACTTGGGGCCACTGACATCCCCAGTGACACCAATACAGTGATCAGTGAAAAGTGAAAAAAAAACACTGAGACTGTACTAATGGCACTGGGAAGGAAGGGGTTAAAATTTTTATTCAATCAAAGAGTTAACTGTATGAGGGGAGTGTTTTACTAGTGGGCAGGGGGTGTGTACTTCACAGGAACACACTGATTCCTAGTCCTAAACTCCGCTCTCAGGATCAGTGTGTTAGGAACTGACAGGGAGCAGATCTGCATTGAAAACAATGCAGCTATGCTCTGTGTCACTGTTTGCCGGCAATCGCCGGGACCCGGCGAGTAATGACCGGCCGGGACCAGGTAATTGACACCCGCGGCGGCGATCAGCGGCGCAGGCAGGGCGGGTGCGTGCCTCGCGCGCCCTCTACCTGTTTTGCAAAATGACATTTTAAAATGTTATTTTGTGCAGGGGTGCCTCCCTGTGGCCATTTTTGTACAGTGACTGGTCAGCAAGCAGTTAAATAATGTCAGACCAGGCATGGCAGAGTTTTTTAACTTTTTACTTGTAACTTAAGCAATACAAATAACAGAGTGCAGTTCCTCCCTCACCTAGTCCCTAACTTAGTCTCGGCTGCCCCAGCATACCTGTATAGGTGAAGTCCATGAAAAGGCAAGTCCATTTTGGCAGTTCTCCAGCAGCTGGTGTTCCACAGAGAAGACTGAAAGTCCCAGCAGTCCCGCTACATTGTGGCAGTTGCAGAGTTCAGCAAGCAGGGTAGCACTGCAGGACAGAGCCAATCTCCTTTGTGAAATAGCTGGAGATTACATACTGTGCCTTGGGTGTGTCTTCTTCCCATGTAGCAGCTCTCTGAGTGCAGAGCCCTCGCCCCTTTTATTTACAGAATAGGGAGAGAGGCAGATCCCAGGAAAGAGTGGGAAAATGTATTAACATCTTCCCTTCCAACTAGGGCAGCCAGCTGTTTTACTTACCCAGCATATCAATCTGCTTACACCTCAATAGGACCTTCAGCACCAAAACAAATGCAAAGCAGGTCAAACATAGCTTGTAAACTGTCATGTATACAGCTCCATTAAGTCAGTGGTGATTTGATGATGTGTGCTACAAAAGCACATCAAACGCAGGAAAACAACGCCCAACAAAACATGTTTACCAATTCTTGTTTGCGCTCTCATTAACTGATTTTTTTTTATAACCAACATAACTGTCAACTGTCAAATCACTGAATGTTTTTTTCTTTTTTGCACTCTAAAGACCGTAGTGCATAAAAATCTCAGGAAGTCAACAGTTTGGGAGATGCTACAATCACAGTATCTGGGTGCAACAATTATTCCAGTCAGTCATTTAGATCACACATTTTCGTCTGTCCAATATTTGGCCAAACAGTGCTTGAACCTATTGACCATGTATGCCTAATGTAGCAGGTGACCACTGAGTATGTGTTTTTGTGTGGGTATCTACATACCAGGCATATGTTAATGATTCCTCCAAGCCGTACAATTGATTTTTAGGTAGATTTACTACGTTCAAATATATTTAAATGTAATAGTCAAGACACAGCACAGTATTATAGTCCCTCTGCCAGATACCGGAGTGCCATATGAAGTTATTTAATTAACTACACTGTTTTAATAACCAAAGGAAGTGAGTAAAGAAGACATCCCACACATTTTCCAAAAATCTAAGTATTTTATGGAGGGAAATACATTCTTAAAAGGACCTAAGCCTTTAAAGTGGTAGTAAACGCTTCTTTTTATCTTCTATCTGCATGTATGCCTTTAATAAATTTTACTTGTAGTTACAGTGAATATCTCCTAAATGTGCACAGTTTAGGAGATATATACATGTGTAGCAGCCAGTGACATCACCTGCACATGCACACTGTGCTCTCAATGGATGGCATGCTGTCCAATGACAGAGCTGTGCTGCGTCCGTGACTCCTGCTCACATGTGTGGGAGTGACATCATTGTGGCTCAATCATTTAAATGGCTGTCATAGTGATGTCATCATGGCTCAGCCATTCAAATGGACAGAGACAGAAAACCTGGAAAAAAGAGGTGAAGATGGAAGTCCTATCAGCAGGGACAGCACACCACTGGGGGGATCTATTTTTTTAGGTAAGTCTGTTATAATGTGCTAGTATGCAGTGCATACAAGCACATTATGACTTCAGCCTCAAGGAGACCAACCATTTTATTTAGTAACCCTTGGTTTATTACAGCTTTAAAGGACCCTTTTACACTCTTGTGCTGCAACATGGATGTGCCCAACTTTCCTATAATAAAAATAGTGACATGTCTGTCTTTTTTTTGTTTTCTGCCTTGGGAGGCCCATACAAGTCAATGGCAATGCAATAAAATGCACATAACATGCATCTTAATATGTTGGCAACAGGTTCTAACAAGCCTTAGTCAATGGCTGTTAACTGTATGGACTCCAAATGGTCTGAGACCTGGTGCAGAGTGTGTGGATCCCAGGTTCAGTCCTGTTAGGAGGAGACCCCTGTCTGGGGGCTTTGCCTCTGGGAGCAGGCTTCTGGAGTATTAAGGGTCCCAGCTGTAGCTTAAGTTGGGGGGGGGGGCTTTTATAAAGTTTGGTCTGGGAGTTATTTGTTATTTTTGGTGTTTGGAGATCTCACTGAAGAGTACCTGGTGGAAGTTGGGGGAAAAGTGTCCAGCTGTTCTGTGGTAGTGTGAGTCTGTGTCTCCCTCACCAAAGAGTGCCCGGTGGATATTAGGAGGCAATTGATGATCCTATGGTATTTGTGAGTAAATGACCTAGGTGCTGTGCCTTAGTGACTGTGTGCAGTTCTCAGTTCTTTAAAGAAAGTTATAGGCACCTTTCAGCCAGCAAAGAGTTGTGTGGGACGTTTTGTGCAGATCATTGTGAAGAGACGAGTCCTCATCAAAATTAGTTCGGGAAATTCTGGGGTATCTCATGCTCCCTTCACCCCATCCAAGTTTATTTCTGCAACAAAGCATAAAAAGACATCCCTAGACGGATCTGTCCGAGCAAGTGGAATTGAGAAAATGCTGTTTTCCTGGCCGTGTGAGCACTAATATTGGGGAAAAAAATCAGTTATCACCAGTGGCTCTTTTGGGCGGTGTGCTACACATGCTCCACTGGAGGTTCAATGTAACAGCATGGTTGAAAATAGGTTAAGACCACCTGATTTTGTAATTGAAATCCAGGGGCACACTACTGACCACATTCACTTTTAACCACACCTACAAACACACACCTTATTTAAAGCTACACCCCCAAAATCCAGTTCCCATTTTTAACATGTCCTCAAATAATCTGTCCCTCCTCAAGGCACAGGCATCTAGGACTGCTCAAAAGTGGATACATGCAGTCCTACAGTATAATGGGTTAGCAATGGGGCCTAGGCCTGATAGACTTGTCTGCATTTCATGTAACTTGAACTATGGTGCTGGAAGTGACATTTACATGCCTCTAGATCAGTCGGGATCACGATCTACCGGTCAAACACAGGCAGCCAACAGGTAGATCGTGAACATGGCTCTGCTTCCCCCCCCAGCCTTCCACTCTCTCATGTTCACTGCAGAGCGGAGAACGGGAGGCAGCATAGTGCTGGATGGTGGGTGGGACAGGAGCTGCCTCAGCTAACCTTTTTGTTAACCAGCAGGTGATTGGTTGCTAAACAGTCCTAGCAATCAATCACCAGCTTGTTATTATGAGAAGTTAACACTGGCAGCTTCTGCTCTCAGCTTCCATCCAATACTATGCTGCCTCCCAGTCTCTGCTCTGCTGTACACACGCTGTCAGGTAAGAGAGTGCGTTGTGTGTTTGTGTGGGGAGGAACAGGGGCGGACTGACAACTCATAGGGGCCCCCGGGCAATAGGGATCATGGGGCCCCTGTGTCCTTGCCCACACTCAAAAAAGCCTATAAAAAAGGTACCAGGGGCATTTCATGGCGCCCCCTACTGACACCGGGCCCTCAGGCAGTGCCCGAGTGCTCAAATGGTCAGTCCGCCCCTGGGGAGGAAAATTATGTAAAGGGGACAGAGGACACTGTTGGAGGGGGATATAGGACACTGCTTGAGGGGCAGAGAATACTGTTTGGGGGGGCAGAGGACACTACAGTGGGGGGGGGGGAGTTGAAAGGGACAGAGGACACTGCTGTGGGGGGCAGAGGACACTACAGTGTCTTTAATAAGCCCTGTTCTTATGATATACCATGTGTACATGCTCCCCTTTAAGGATGTTCTTTGCTGAAGTAAAGTATAGCATATGGACTGTTCATCAAAGATGTCATGAATACACATTTCTCTGCACAATTTTCTAAGTACCCCATAGTTAGTCCACTGGTGCCTCTGATTGTCGCTTGAGTTAGTCATACCTTAAATATTTGAGAAAGTCCGTAGAATGCATTGGTCAAGCATGAGTCCGTACTCCTGAAACCCTGACTAGGTTCCCACATCCTTGGCATCATACTTGTTTCTTGGACGGGAAGACCTGGAACCGATTCTCTTATTACTGTGGCACCGCCGAGAGGTGGTTTCCATAATTTTGATCTGTTTACAGCAAAGACAGTACCTCCCCAAAAAGCCTGGGAAAACCTATCCAGCAGAGTTAACCCTTAACTTCCAAAGAGTACTACCTCAGCAGGGAAATCATAACTAAACAGTGCTATATGGTTATTCTAATTTACATACTCCACATACATAAACTACAAAACAATAGAACATTTTTAACCAACATAACACATTTAACATCACAATGGATAAGTGTTTAGCACTAGGGTTATCGGTTTGAATCCTGAACATGACACTACCTGCCTGGAGTTTGCATGTTCTCCCTGTGCTTGCATGGGTTTCCTCCAGTTACTCCAGTTTCCTACCACACTCCAACTCCACCTACTGCTGGTAGGTTAATTGGCTCTTGTCTAAAATTGGCCCTAGTATTTACCGGTATATGTATGACTTTGAGTTAGGTTGTAAGCTTCTAGAGGCCAGGGTCTGATGTACTATACAGCTGCAAGAAAAAGTATGTGAACCCCTTGGGATTACGTGGAGTTTTGCATGAATTGGGCATAAAATGTGCTCTGAACGTCAACTAAGTCACAACAATAGAAGAACACAGTCTGCTGAACAGAATACTACACAAACATTAGATGTTGCCATGGTTTAATTGCACATAGCATGTAAACATTCACAGTGCAGGGAGGAAAAAGTATGTGAACCTTTGGACTTAATAACTGGTTGACCCTCCTTTGGCAGCAATAACCTCAACCAAACGTTTCCTGTAGTTGCAGATCAGACCTGCACAACGATCTGGAGCAATTTTGGACCAATCCTCTTCACAAAACTGTTTCAGTGTAGCAATATTCTTGGGATGTCTGGTGTGAATCGCTCTCTTAAGGTCATGCCACAGCATTTCAATTGGGTTGAGGTCAGGACTCTGACTGGGCCACTCCAGAAGGCGTATTCTGTGCTGTTGGAGCCATTGTTTTGTTGAATTACTTGTATGCTTTGGGTCATTGTCCTGTTGCATCACCCATCCTCTGCAGGAGCTTCAGTTGGCGGACAGATGGTCGTACGTTTTCCTGCAAAATGTCTTGATAAACTCTGGAATTCATTTTTCCATCAATGACAACAATCCGTCCAGGCCCTGAGGCAGCAAAGCAGCCCCAAACCATGATGCTCCCTCCGCCATGTTTTACAGTGGGGATGAGGTTTTGATGTTGGTGTGCTGTGCCTTTTTTCTCTCACACATAGTGTTGTGTGTTCTTCCCAAACAACTCAATCTTGGTTTCATCTGTCCACAGTATATTTTGCCTGTAGTGCTGTGGAACATCCAGGTGCTCTTTTGCAAACTTCAAACGTGCTGCAATATTCTTTTTGAACAGCAATGGCTTCCTCCGTGGTGTCCTCCCATGTACTCCATTCTTGTTTAATGTTTTCCTTATTGTAGATGTGTCACCAAAAATGTTAGCATGTGCCAGAGATTTCTGTAGGTCTTTAGCTGACACTCTGGGATTCTTCATTACCTCATGCAGCATTCTGCGCTGTGCTCTTGCAGTCATTTTTACAGGACGACCAGGCCTAGGGAGAGTAGCAACAGTGCTAAACTTTCTCCATTTGTAGACAGTCTGTCTTACCGTGGACACATGAACATCAAGGCTTTTGGAGATACTTTTGTAACCCTTTCCAGCTTCATGCAAGTCAACAATTCTTGATCGTAGGTCTTCTGAGAGCTCTTTTCTGCGAGGCATGGTTCACATCAGACAGTGCTTCTTGAAACCAGTAAACCCAAAACAGGTGTGTGTTTTTTAAGGGCAAGACAGCTGTCAGCAACACATCCAATATCATCAAACTGATTGGAGTCAAGGTTGGCTCACTCCTGGCTCCAATTAGCTCTGGGAGAGGTCATTAAGCTAGGGCCTCACATACTTTTTCCTCCCTACACTGTGAATGTTTACATGTTATGTGCAATTAAACCATGGCAACATCTAATGTTTGTGTAGTATTATGTTCAGCAGACTGTGTTCTTCTATTGTTGTGACTTAGATGACGTTCAGAGCACATTTTATGCCCAATTCATGGAAAACTCCACATAATCCCAAGGGGTTCACATACTTTTTCTTGCAACTGTATATATATATATATATATATATATATATATATATATATATATATATATATATAGTTTAGGAACATAAGGATTCATTGATCGTTTGATGGAAATAAAAATGATCAACCTACAGAAAACTGAATTCAATGAAAATCAAAGTGAAAAAAAATATGCAGCAGGCTAGTCCATTTTGCTGAAATTTCAGTAGTTTGTATGGCCCCCCACCTGCTTGTATGCATGCCTGACAACATCAGGGAATGCTCCTGATAAGACAACAGATGGTGCCCTGGGGTATTTCCTCCCAGATTTGGACCAGGGCATTACTGAGCTCCTAGACAGTATGAGGCGCAACCTGGCAGCGTCGGATGGTCTGAAACATGATATCCCAGAGGTGTTCTATTGGGTTTAGGTCAGGTGATGGTGGGGTCCATTCAATGATATTAATTAATTCCTTCATCCTCCAGGAACTGCTTGCATACTCTCGCCACATGAGGCCGGGCATTGTCATGCACAAGGAGGATCCCAGGACACACTGCACCAGCGTAGGGTCTGATAATGGGTCCAAGGATTTCATCCCAATACCTGATGGCAGTCAGGGTGGCATTGTCTAGCCTGTAGAGGTATGTGCGGCACTCCCCAGACCATCACTGACCCACCACCAAAACGGTCATGCTGAACAATATCACAGGCAGCATAACATTCTCTATGGCTTCTCCAGACCCTTTCACGCCTGTCACGTGCTCAAGGTTAACCTGCCCTCATCTGTAAAAAGCACAGGGCTCCAGTGGAGGACCTGCTAAATCTGGTGTTCAATGGCAAATGCCAATTGAACTCTATGGTGCCGGGCAGTGAGCACAGAGCCCACTAGAGGACATTGGGCCCTCAGGTTATCTTTATGAAGTCTGTTCCTGATTGTTTGGTCAGAGACATTCACACCAGTGGCCTGCTTGAGATCATTTTGTAGGGCTCTGGCAGTGCTCATCCTGTTCCTCCTTGCACAAAGGAGCAGATACCAGTCCTGCTGATGGATTAAGGACCTTCTATGGCCCTGTCCAGCTCTCCTAAAATAACTGCCTGTCTCCTGGAATCCCCTCCATGCTCTTGAGACTGTGCTGGGAGACACAGCAAACCTTCTGGCAATGGCATGTATTGATGTGCAATCCTGGAGGAGTTGGGCTGTCTGTGCAACCTCTGTAGGGTCCAGGTATCTCTGCATGCTACCAGTAGTGCCACTGACCCTAGCCAAACACAAAACTGTGAAATACAGTCAGAAAAAATGAGTAGGGAAAAAAGTCAGTAGCCTCCACCTGTAAAACCATTCCTGTTTTTGGGGATGGTCTCATTGTTGTCCATCTGGTGCACCTGTTGTTAATTTCATTAACACCAAAGCAGCTGAAACTGATTAACAACCCCCTCTGCTACTTAATGCAGGCCATAGATGGGGAGAAAAACTGCAGATTTTTCTTTTAAAAAACGAAAAATCGGTTGTTCAAGTGGCCAACGTTACCATCAATGGTAAAAAAAATCGGCCGATTTTCTACCCGTCTAGAGCCGGCAAAAAGTGTCCCTGCAGAGAGCTCTGCTATTTCTTTGACAGTTCTCTGACAGTTCCTTGACATTTATAGAAGTTGCAACAATGTATCTATTTGTTTCCATTTAGGATACAGATGTTTTTATTCGGAAACAAATAGATACAATGTTTCAACCGCTGTAAATGTCAAGGAACTGTCAGAGAACTGTCAGAAATAGCGGAGCTCTCTGCAGAGACACTTTATGCTGGACTGGAATTCTTCTTATTTTCATCCTACTTCTTCTTCTTCTTCTTCTTCTTCTTCTTCTTCTTCTTCATCCTCATCCTCATCTTCTTCTTCTTCTTCATCCTCATCCTCTTCTCTTCTTCTTCTTCTTCTTCTTCCTCATCCACTTCCTCTTCTTCTTCTTCTTCTTCTTCTTTCTTCTTCTTCTTCTTCATCCTCATCCTCATCCTCTTCTTCTTCTTCTCTTCTTCTTCTCCTCATCCTCATCCTCTTCCTTCTTCATCATCCTCATCCTCATCTTTCTTCTTCTTCATTCCTCATCCTCTCCTCTTCTTCTTCTTCATCCTCATCCTCTTCTTCTTCATCCTCTTCTTCTTCCTCTTCTTCTTCATCCTCTTCTTCATCGTCTTCCTCTTCTTCTTTTTCTTCTTTTTGTCTTCCTCTTGCAGGTCACTGCTCATACGCAGATTTTTTATCGGTAAAAAATCGGCCGATTTGCCCACTAATTGCCGCGAAAATCGGCCGATCGGCAAAATCGGCCGATTTTTTTCCAACTTTACCGAAAAAAAAAAAACGGCCAAAATACCGAAAAACGGCCGACCAAATCGCCCACTAACGATCCGAAAATCGGCCGATTTTATTTTCGCCC